TCTGTCCTGCTGGTCCTGCTTCCCCACATCTCGGTGGCCTTGGCCTTCCAGCCCTGCTCTTAGTGACCCTCATCCCTCCTTCCTGCAGATCACCCGGCAGCAGTACCAGAATGGGCTGTTGGCCTCACGAATGGACAACTCCCCTCAGTTTCCCTTGGACGGGTGCACCATCTGCACAGAGAACTTGGTGGACAAGCCTGAGCTGCCTGTGGTGGACGAGACCACAACTCTCCTCAACGAGCGCAATGCCACGCTGCACAAAGCTGATCCTGAGAGCACCATCTGACAGGAGGGCCCGGGGCCCCCCGCCAGCTCCGCGGGGGCCGCCCCAGTGGGCCCACCTGAAGAGAGGGAGCCTGTCGGGCCAGACGGGGTACAGAGAACCTGTCTTACTGAGCAGCCAGGTGGCCCCCAGCCTATGGGGAGGCTGGCCTCTGACAGGGACCTGTGAACAGCTCTGAAGTAGCGGCTGCCCAGCCCTGGACTGTGGCATGGAGCAGCCACCACAAGAAAGGCTGTGTTTTTATTGGAAACTTTCTAAATTAGGCTTATTCCTCCTCTTTTTAAATATCATTTGGGGAAGGGAATGCAGAAGGGAAGACAGGGTTAAGGAACTTTATTTAAACATTTTTTTTCCACAAAAACCTTGAAAGGGTTTTTCACTCCGGGAAGCAATAGCCATTATCTCTCCCAGCTGCAACCTTCTGGCTATGTCCCTGACTCAGGGAGCCCACTCTTCCTCCTCCTTGCCTTCCAAAGACGCCAGGGTCCAAGAGGCCCTGTTCTTTCCAGGAAGGAAAGAACCAAATAGCATTGAGGATGTGTGGACGGAGGCTAGTCTGACGTCGCTGAGGCTGGGGGATTCTGAGGAACTGTGATCAGGGACCGATACTCCCAACTACAGCAGAGGAACCCTGCTCCTGTCACTCGCTGGGTCCAGGACTTTCTGAGAACCCTGCTGATAAGCTCTTCTGGTGAGTCGGGGCCACTGTCACCACTGTCTCCATTGGTTTGCCTCATATCTGCCCCTTTGGACAACTGTCCCCTTGTGATGGGGCTGACTTGATGGGTTAGGCAGGGTCCCCTACCTTTCAGTTTGCTCACCCCTGCTTCCTAGGCTGCCCCCACTTTTACCAAAGGCTCCCCCTGGATTGGGACAGCATCTACACTAGAGTTAGTTGACTTGTCTACCATACTCCTTTAGGTTCTAAGAGGGAATCTCTTGGGTGTCTGTGTTCTTAGCAAGTAATACCATCCCCTTCCCACCCCACAACCAAAGACCAGTCTGAACCCTGAACTCTGTGTTCCAGACTCCCTACTTCTAGTCCAATCCCCAAGGTCTCTTGGAGATTAAGAACAGAACATGTAGGAAGCCAACCTAAATGAGTTCTTCATGCCCATGCCATTTCCCTTGTAGATGAGGCTTACGTGTCCTCTTTATACACTTCCAGGACCCAGGAAAACTTTCCACCTTAAAGGCACACAACTGGCAGCCACATTTCTCCCATGTCTATAATCCTAGTATGAGATGTCATCATGGCCCGTGCTGAAACTGGTGGTATAGAGCTCCGTGCCCACAGGAAATCCTGCCCCAGCATCTTTTCCCTGGGGCAGAATCAGGCCCTGCTACATAGCTGCAGGCTTCCCACTGCTGGGGAGACCGTGGGACCAACATCCACGTTGGCCTTTCTGTCAGATGGAACAGTTGCTGGGGCCCAAGATCCGGTGAGGCAGACTCTGCAGGCCTTCTACCTGAGTACTGTCCATTTTTCAGCCAGTGAGTTCTGTCACCCAAGTGCTCCACTCTTCGTACCTGGAGAATCCTGTCTTGGGACCAGGAAATGTCTAGTACCAAGTATGCCTGCCCCTGGCCAGTCACAGAATTTATTCCTAAAAGTCTGAGAGAAGGTGATGACACCCATGGGTTCTCAGCCAGAAGTAAAAAAGACACTGGACCTTTGTTCCCTGTTGGGGAAACCGCTTACTTTTCTACAGGAACAGCTTGCTGATCCACATGGAAGCTTGCAAAGCTGTGTTCTTGAGATCCACGTGCCAGGTGGGGCCAGGCACATTGGCCTGAACCAAGTGAGTGTGTGTGAAGTAAAAGCAGGTGCACATTCTTCCACAGCTACCTCTTTGCACACATATTTACTATCAACAGATGGTCCCTCTTCCTCCACCCACTCCACTTCCCCTTTTATAATCACTTCTCGCATAGGGTTATAATTATTTCCAAATATTCCTGGTCCGATGACTTCCTCTTCCCAGTGCAGTTTTTCACTTCCTATTCCAACCTCTGGCTCCTGAGCTGAGCTCTGCCCTAAAATTGGCCCATCCCTGCACATCTTCCTTTGTAAGGGAGACCTTTGCAGATGGCCACCAGATAGGTAGGCAAGTCACAGCCACCATAGCAAGTAACTCATATTTATTTGCGTAAGATTTTAATTTGTATATTTTTGTGATTTATTTTGGCATTGTTATGAGTTTGACTCTCGGGGAGTTTTGTTGTTATGACTCGTGTCTTTTGTCACAAAACAATGATATTTGCTAAACAATATATGGAATTTATTTTTGATTGGTAATAAAAAATGAAATAGGAAATTGTGGTGAGTCTAAAATATGCCTATTCGAGTTAGTCCATATTCAGTACCTGTCATAGAAATAGAAGTGACTGATTAACTGTCACTTGTGTCAGGGCGAGGGGCCAGTGTTCTGGGACAGTTCAGCAGTAGAAAAGAAGCAGAGCCCTGGCTGGCCTGTGAACCAAAAGGTTGCTGGTTCAGTTCCTGGTCAAAGCATGTGCCTGGGTTGTGGGCCAGATGTTTCCCTCTGTCTTCCTCCCTTCCCTTTCTAAAATTAAGTAAATAAAATCTGTTTTTAAAAAAGGAGAAATACAATTTACAAAATATGTATAATCAAGACTGGCCTCACAGGAGCTACTAGACATGTGCTCAGTTACCACAATTAGAAGTCCTGTAAAATGGACACCTCAGGGTCTTCTGTCAGCAGGTGTCAGAGGGGCCGGTCGGAGTGGACAAATTGCCCCTCGTCTCTACCCTGGAGGCTGAAGGAGAAAGGAGCTTAATCCACAGATAGGATCACATTGCTTTATAATGTGCAGTTGCCTTCTGGTCTCAAAGTGAGAGTTCTGATCTCCTGAGGAGCCCATCTGAGAGTGACCTCAGTACATCCACTCCTGCAGTGCCCACAGATGTCTTGGCTATAGTACATGATTGTATTGAGGGCAGGGGCTGAAGCCTGTCAGGCTTAACAGAGCCACCGCGTTGGGGGGAATGTTTAAAGAAAGGGAGGCACTTGTGTAGACAGAAAGGACATTCCAGGTAAAGGAAATAAATACAAAAAGTTGTTTTATAGGTGGGAAGAATGAATGTTATCCACCCATTTGTTCCACATGTTAAAGCCCCTGTTGCATGCCAGGCACAACCAGCCCCTCAGTGAGATTAATGAGGAAGACCCCTAGAGGGAGATAGTCACACAAGGACCCTTGGATTCACTGTCTCCTCCACCTGGAACATGCTTCCCCCAGTTCTTTGTGAGGTTTACCGTGCTTGGTCTGGCCCTGTCCAAATGTCACTTCCTTGGAGAAGCCTTCTTAGATCACCCTACATAAACAGCATGGTCCCAACCCCTGTCTCTTGTTTTTCTCCATAGCATTTACTGCCAGATATTAAAATATGATTTGTGTGTTTCCTGTTGCCCCAGTACTAGAACCTAAGCTCCAGGAGAGCAGGGATTTTAATTTCCACATAGTACCAGCACTAGAATAGGACCTGGCACATTGCAGGCACTCCAAACAGGAAATACTTGTTGAATTAATGTACTTACCACCATAAGGTAAGTACTGGATGCTCTTGGGGAGAGATACCTAGTTATCATAACCTTGACCCAACCTAATCAAGATGGTGGAGGAAGATCAGCTGAAGGAAGTGACATTTGCAGACAAGAAGCACACAGGAATTAGCTAGTGAAGTCATGATAGCTATGAGTTTAAAAGACACTTGAATAAAACATGGAAATGTCTTGAACCAAATGACCTGTAGGGAAAATGGCCCATGAAGGGTCAACGAGGGACCTGAAGGTCAAGTGGTAAGTGTTTCCATTGGTGCTGTGATTAACCCGGGGATGGGAAGTGGCACAGATCTGAGGAAGGAGCTGGGGAAGTACAGTTGTGGCCTCTACTGTTACCAGGGAAGCACTCGGTGAGCAGCTTTGCCACGTTCTGGATTCTTGTCTTTGGATATTGACAGTTCAAATGACCATTTGTGCTTTCCAATTTGTGATCCAAATTGCTCAGTGTCTGTCCAATGGTTTCCTCAACAAAATTAAATGATAGGTCCTTCTCCCAGGAAGCCTGAGACCAAAGAAGAAATACAAGTGGAATGACAGGTCCATGCATTCCTGACAGAGCCGCTGTTTCCGAATGTAGCTAGGTGGTGACCTGGGTGGGTGATGCCATACTAGGTAGGTGGCGTTGAAATACAACATCTACGCCAAGGTGGGCTTTACCTTTCTTCTAGAAAACACCAAGAAGTAACGGCAAGAGTCCCGGTGGGTAGTAATCTCGTGTGTTTACACCTTTTCTTCCAAGGGCTATGTCGTTGTGCCCGGACTACAGCGCGGTTGGGAGTCATCAACAAGCATCTTCCCGAACCTTAGTTTACCGGAGCCCAGCTCCGGCTGTCCCTTCAACATCCTTGCTTCTAGTCGGCAGTTCCCAAAGCGGCACTTCTCAGAAGTCCCGCCCGGAACTTCTCAGCGCTCTAGGCAGGTCTTCCGCACAGGACTACAGGGAAGAGCTCTGCGCCCACCGGCCCACCCGCTCGCCAGCCGCGCCCACCGGCCCGCCCCGCCTCGCCCCTCCCGCACCGCCTGTTTACGCCCTGGCGCAGCCTAGCCCGATCTTGGGCACGCCCCCTGGCGCCGCCCATTGGCTCAGGGGGTGCGAGTGCGGTGCCCATTGGTCTGCAGAGGCAGAGGTAGGCTGCGGAGGGCGAGACGGGCTGCGGGCGATGGCGGCAGTAGCGGCGGCGGGGCTGCAGGGCTGGCTGCTGGCTGCGCTGTGCCTGGGCCACGCCGCCGGGGAGGTGGCACAAGGCCCTCGAGTGCTGGGCGTCTGCCTGGAGCAGGCTGGAGCCGCGGGCTCGTCGTGGGCACACGGAGGGGAGGTGCCGGCTGCGTCCGAGGCCACCTTCCGCTTGCGCCTCTTCGGCTCTGGTTTCGCTAACAGCTCCTGGTCTTGGGCGGCCCCCGAGGGGGCGGGCTGCCCCGAGGGCGGGCCGGCTGCGGCGCCTGGGGAGGCGTTGGCCACTACCGGCGAGTGGCGGGCGCTGCTGCGCCTGCGCGCGGAGGCAGAGCGCCCGCACTCAGCACTGCTGGCAATGCGTGGGGAGCCTGGGGGCACAGCTGCTAAAGAGGCCGCGGCGGCCTCCGCAGGCGAGTGGCGTGCATTGCTGCGCCTGCGTGCTGAGGCGGTGCGGGCGGATCCGAGCGTCTCGGCGGCGTTTCAGGAGGCGTTGCCGACCTGGGTGCTTGGCCTAGGGGCGGCGGGGCTGCTGGCGCTGGCAGCCCTGGCACGAGGCCTCCAGTTGAGCGCGCTGGTGCTGGCACCAGCCGAGGTGCAGGTGCTGCGGGAGAACGGCTCAGAGGCTGAGCGCGCGGTGGCGCGGCGCCTGGAGCCAGCGAGGCGCTGGGCCGGCTGCGCCCTTGGCGCGCTGCTGCTGTTAGCCAGCCTGGCGCAGGCGGCGCTGGCTGTACTGCTGTACAGCGCAGCCGGCCAGCGCGCCTTGCCGGCCGTCTTGGGCAGCGCAGGGCTCGCGTTCCTGGTAGCCGAGGTGCTGCCGGCCGCCGTGAGTGGGCGCTGGACACTGGCTCTGGCCCCACGCGCTCTGGCGCTCAGCCGCCTGGCCGTGCTGCTCACCTTGCCTGTGGCCTTTCCCGTGGGGCAGCTGCTGGAGCTGGCGGCGCGACCTGGGCGGCTGCGAGAACGGGTGCTGGAACTGGCAAGAGGCAGCGGCGACCCCTACAACGACCTAAGCAAGGGCGTGCTACGCTACCGGACAGTGGAGGAAGTGCTCACGCCGCTTGAGGACTGCTTCATGCTAGACGCCAGCACCGTGCTGGACTTTGGTGTTTTGGCTAGCATCATGCAGAGTGGGCACACGCGCATCCCTGTGTACGAGGAGGAGCGCTCCAACATCGTGGACATGCTCTACCTCAAGGACTTGGCTTTTGTGGACCCTGAGGACTGCACGCCCCTCAGCACCATCACTCGCTTCTACAACCACCCGCTCCACTTTGTCTTCAACGACACGAAGCTAGACGCTGTTCTGGAGGAGTTCAAGCGAGGTAAAGTCCAGGAATCGGGGAGGGAACCCAAAGGCCTTTGCCCTCCCTTAGAAAAGGGATGGAGGGTTGTGGAAGCCCTGGGGAGGGCATAAGATTTTTATTTTTATTTAGAGAGAGAGGAAGAGAAGGAGAGAAACATCAATGTGTGGTTGCCTCTTGTGTGCCCCCAAGTAGGGAGGTGGTCTGCAACCCAGGCCTATGCCATCACTGGGAATCGAACCAGCGAAACTTTGCAGCCAGTGGATCCAGCCGGGTTCGCAGCCCAGCTCAATCCACTGAGCTACACGAGCCAGGGCCCCAAAGTGGCTATTTTTTTAATGCGGCCTGTAAAGAAGATGATAGCCTTGCAGCTTTGACTTTTTGAAATATTATTTAAAGGCTGTCGTTCAGAGGGTGACATTTCTAGAGACAGCAAAACCTCCCTTTTCATGGTAAGCCCCCAGTTCTGGGAGGTGTGTCCACTAGGCTCCAACACGCAGGTCTTTCCCTTTCCAGGTCATTTTTATGGGCTTTGGCTTTGAAGCAGGTTCAAACTCGTGGATAGAAACTTTAAAAAGTAGAAAAAACTAGTTCTCCAGATAACTTGAAGCTATTATCTATTTACATGTACAGACATACTTTGGATATTGTGGGTTCAGTTCCAGACCACCACAGTAATGTGTTAATCTTTTTGCTGGTGGAGAGCCTTGACTTCAATTTGTAAAACATGCAACATCTGAAGAGCAATAAAGTAAGGGATACCTGTAATGCCAAGATAGCCTGGCCTGCTTCCAGGTCAGCATTGTCACTAATGGGCTGCTACCTTCTTGATTACAGAAAAGCGAGTGATTGGCAAATACCTTTCTGCTGGTGTGTGTGAAGTGTCCACTTTGATTTTGCCCAAAGCAACTTCATACATACTGATTTAGCCTCCCCTTCAGCTGTCTTTAGAAAACTTCCTTCATCTTTTAGAAAACTTTACCTTTTTTTAACCCTAAGGTCTCTCAAGTTTGCCCTCAACTACATATTTCACCTCGATACATGCGAGCAACTCTAAGGTTGCAGGTAAAAACCAAGACTCACCCTCCAAGTGTGAAGGTGTGGTGCTCCTCTGCAGTCCGTTCCGTTGCCTGGTTGGGTGTGCTCCTTAGAGCTTGGCTGCTTCTTGCCTGCCATTTTAAACTCCTGCAGGATGGGCACGGACACCCCAGGATTCTGGGTGGGCTTGATCCTAAAGCCTGTATGTGAGGCTGAGAAGTGAGCAAAGCCTCCTGATCTTCTGGCAGCTGTGAGGTCTTGCACCACAAGCTGGCCTTGGGAGGTGCTTGGTGAGCCCCTGACAGATGGCAAGGAGACAGCTTTGTGGTGATCACAGTGTTACTCCTGTGTTAGCATTACTGTATGCCAGACTGTCGTGAGTACGTACATGCATCATTACCTTTCATGCTTTTGAGGCACCTGAGTGTTGCATAGTTGGGTGGTTACTGTTATTACTGTGCCTCCTATTGGGTAGGAGGCTTTAATGGGTTGCTCTGACTGCCCTGCTAGAGAATCTGAGGGGTGGCCATGTAGCCTCTCTCAGGGGAGGGGAGCCCAGGGTAGGGGCCAGACAGAACTTCCTGGTGGTAAGTACTTCATCTGGCCACTGTGGTTTATGAGGTGGCCCTGGAGTCAGCTGGGGAGGGTTCATTCCATCCCTTTTGTGCCACCTCCCGGCTTGAGGTAGGGAGGCTAGACGTGACACCAGGGTGGTGCCTGTGAGCAGAGCTTGTTGCCATGACTGGTGTGGGCAACAGTGGGTGGGTGGTAGGGGTTGCAGAGCAGAGGGTGGCAGGCTGAACAGGGCCTGGAAAGGAGTCCCGGGAGAGCTTTGGAGGTGGAATTGGAGGGTTTTGTGGTTGTCAGGGGCTTGGGGGCAAGAGGAAGGAGCTGGGGAAGAGGCCTGGATTTCCACTTTCCCTGAGGGATTGGGGCTGGGCTAGGAGTTTGCTCTGGACATTGGAGTTTGTGCAGTGGCCCCATGGCCAAGTCCTAGAGAGCAGGTGTCGTATTGGAAGGACCTGAGTGAAGGTGAACGTCTGATCTTGGGTGTAGCAGCAGTCCCTCAACTGCAGAAGGGGAGCAGAGAGCCTAACCCTAAGGGTGCGTGCATGTTTTGTGAGGGCAGCAGAGGAGAGGCTGCTGAGAAGGGCAAGTGGCTCAGAACATCTGGACCTGGGGGAGAGACAAACTCATCAAGGGCAGGAGAGCGGTCAGAAGAGGAGGCCAGTGTCGTGCCACGTGGATCCAGCCAGTGGGGTTCCCTTGACCTTGGCGTGAGTGGGTTGGGTGTTTTGGTGTAGGGTGTTTGGATGGAGTGAGTGAGGGACGAGAGGTAGGTACAACAGGTATTGACGACAGGATTTCCATGAAGTATGGCTGCAGAAGCCAGAGAGCAGTGGCTGTGAGAGGATGAGCTGAGGATCAAGATGGGCAAGTGGGTTTAGGTTTAGATGTTGTTGGAAAGGAGCCAGTAGGTAGGGATGGCCACAGGGTAGGCCACTCCTGTGCTGGGTGGTGGCCTCAGAGTAGCCCTGGACAGCCAGGCGGGTTTCATGCAGCCTGAAGCTAACCCCGTAGCTGCCTATTTACTACTGCTACTACTTCTACTTCTACTTCTACTACTACTACTTCTACTTCTACTACTACTACTACTTCTACTACTACTACTTCTACTACTACTACTACTACTACTACTACTACTACTACCACTACCACTACTACCGCTACTGCTACTTCTACTACTACTTCTACTTCTACTACTTCTACTTCTACTACTACTGCTACTTCTACTGGAGGTTGAGTGGGGAGTGCTTCCTTCCCTTGCCTTCCTCCTCCTGTGGTGAGTGAGGGCCATTCTTAGGGCTGGACGACCTCCTCTTTTCTCTGAAATCCTGGAGCTTTCTCTGCTTTTGGGGCAGTGCAGTTCTTCGGTGGATATCTTCTTTTTAGCCCAACCCCTTTCTTTATTCTGCTTACGAACAAAAGGCATGAGCTTTTAGAACTTGGTTCCCATCCCACCTCTGCCAGGAGTGTGAGGTGGTGGTGCCTTTGGATTTCCTGAAGGTAGAATCCCTGGCATCTTGGCAGCTATCATTCTGGCGTCTGTTCCTCTTGTGCTTCCAGAGCCCTGTCTTTCTGGGACTTTATAGTCTGGAAGAGTCACCTCCCCCAGTGAGGAGCCTTCAGTCAGTGTGCAGACTTAAGGTGACACCGATTATTTCATACCAGCATTACCAGGAAGAGTGCGTACTTTGGAGCTAGAGTAAATAATATATATTTCCTTTAAAGCCATCAGCCTCTGCCTTCTTTGTCAACCCCCAATGAGATAATTCAAGGACTTCAGCTAGAGGAGGGGTTTAGGATAGGTGAGTTTGTCATTCTCTGCTTTCAGGTGCCTGAGTTCTGGTTCATTGTCAGAAGCCACAGCTGTGAACAGTCAGATCTTCCATGGGGAATGTTAGCAGTGTTCTTTCTCATGGGACAGATTCAAGCAGTTGCTTTAAAAAACAAAAGAGGGAGGGCAGTTCAAGTTTACACTTGAACTGAAAATTTTTAATTATTATTAAAAAAAATTTTTTAAATTTATTTAATTATTGTTCAAGTACAGTTTTCTGTCTTATACTCCCATCCAGCCCACCCCCCCACCAGTGCTCCCTTGAACTGAATTTTTAAGAATATCCTAGAAACTAGGCATTTCGAAAGAATCCTTGAGCATGCATATAATTTATGAGTACTCTTGTGCCTGCTAACTAACTAAAATGAAACTCTAGAGCTTTTTCAGGGCCTTCTGGTCGATGTTGTTGAGATGTACCACCCGCCTCTTGCTTGTGGCTCTGGCACAAGGCGGGCCTGTGGCCATGTTTGCCAACAGGGCCCATATTTTCAGAGTGTATATCCTCTTAGATGAAAAATAGACATAACCCCGCCAACTGCCCTTTTCTATGTACTTCTGCTTTCTTACTGTTGCCTTCTGGGCCCCCTCAAACATTGTCTTGAGATGAAATCACCTGGCCACTGTTTTGGGGGACCTTCCATGTGGAAGGTCACTAAGAAACTTGTGCCTACTTCATAGAAGTTTGAAGGCAAGAGGGAAGTTAGTCCGTTCTGAGTTAACCTGTCACAGCAAGTAGTTTCCTGGAAGAAGGGAGCCGAAGTGGGTCGTCTGTGCCCTTAGATGGCCATGCAGAACCTGAGCTTTGGTTCCAGAATCCAAGAAGACTACCGGTTAAAATTGCGTGTCTTGGCCTTCCTGATTTGGCCTGACAGAGTGGCATCACGTGGCAGGTCCCCATGGCCCTTCTGGAAATAGCGCCTGCCTTCTGGGTGAGCCGTTCCCAACACCAAGTACCAAGGGGAAGAGCGCACCTAGAAATGCTGCAACCCCCGTTCAGTGCCCATCTCAGCGAGATGAGCAGATTGTTCTGGAGGGACCCTTAGCCTTTTCCTGCGGAAAGGGCAAAACCTGTAATGTGTCATTTCCACCTTTCATTTTTGTCTAAACCTATTAGAGTGTCATTGAGATGAAAAAAAGAATGATTTTTTCTTTTATTTGGATGGGCCGTGTGGGAATCACTTGAGGGGAGGGTGTTCTAAGACTGTTCTCAGTGACAGCCAGCGAAGCGTGGTGGTGAAGACAATGAACTTGGGAGCCAGCTGCTTGGGTTCGAATCCTGGTTTTGCACTTGGGTGGGTTACCGAACCTCCCTTAGCCTCGTTTTCTCTGTAAACTGTAAATGGGAGTAATAGTACTATGTGCCTCAGAGAGCTGTTGGGAAGACTCAGGTAATAAATAAGTAAAGCCATCGGTGGCCAGCACACAGTAATCACTAAAACATGTCAGCCTCTCTGCATTCAGGCTGTGCTTCACAATCCATGGCATCTCAGGTTTGATAAAATACAGTAAATGTTATCTTTTTATTCTTTTATAGCTTCATTCCTTTCTTGACCATCCTGTTAGCGGTTTACTACTACTAATAATAATACAGTAGTAGCATTTGGTCGAGTCTCGACATTTTTGCATTTTATGCAGCTTTGGAGCAGAGGTCTTCCTATACCTGTTTGCTGGGGCCAGGGCAGCCGCAGTGGGGGGGGGAGGGGCGATGCCGGGGTGGGGGTGGGGGATGCTGTAGGAATGGGACGCTGTGCCAGATAGAGTTCCACGGGGTGTGTTTGTAAACTCTACTCATTGAATTGTAATTAAACTCAAGGAATGTAAAGGTTGATTCACACAAAGAAGGGAACTTGACTTCTTGCTTAAACAGAAGATACTTGAAGCAAGTACCATCTTCATGTGCAGGTCTAGGCCAGCTGCCCCCCCAAGCTGTCTTCACTAGTAACAGAGGAGAGTGCGGCCGAGATCGGTCTGCTCTCGGGTCCCGGGCCTGCACAGCCCAGGTGCTACCACCCGCGTGTGGCTACCTCTGGACAGGTAACTAGCCAGTCTGAACTGAGACGTGCCGTAGGTGCAACACACACCAAACTTCAAAGATTTGACACAAAAAAGTAAAACTTCTATTAATATGTTTATAATGATTACATATTGAAGTGATATTTTAGCTGTATCAAGTTACTACAATATATTGCCAATTCATTTCACCTGAGTCTTTTTCCTTTTAATGTAGCCACTCAAAAATTTGAAATTACATATGTGGCTTGCATTGTGTCTTCTTTTTTTTTGTATAGGTATAAAGTTTTATAGGTGAAGAGCACTTACCTGAAGCAGAGTAAATGCTTGAAGTTTCCCCAGCACTGAGAAGTGTGAGATTTTTTTTTTCAAGCTTACATTTCCTTAATAGACAAACAAAGAAGAAGGTGACCCAAGAAAGACAGGACAAGGGGAAAGTTCCCTGCTGCTGCTCCTCCTGCCACACAGCTGGGGCTCTGACTGGCTGATTACCATTTATCTTCATCCCTTGGGTGATCTTCACAGACCTTGGCTTCTAGAAAGAAAGGGCAGCCTTCAGAATTAGGAAACCTGCCCTAGGAGAGTAAGTCTGAGGGGGGCGCCCTGTTGGCTCCCCCACCCAGATGGTCCCAGGGAGCCTGCCTTTCTGGATTTAGTGCCTTGTGTCCTCAGTTTGTGTGATGCCACCATGCCTATGCCACATTCACGGCTTGGAGGCACACAGACCCGGGGCTGACTCTAGCTCAGGTGAGTGCAGTGTCTGGGGTTTAGGTTCCTTGAATTTGAGGTGAGGCCAGTCCTCATGAGCATGTTGAGAATCTTCAGTAAAATCCTAGAAGAGTCGCGCCCAGTGCTTGGTGCTTCATAGGAACACAAATACTAGCATCTGTCCCTTTGGTGGGTTTGTGCAGGATGGGGCCGAGGAACACAGGCGCCTCCAGCACACTGTGACGTGCACATCCCCTCCCCCAGGGAAGTCCCACCTGGCCATCGTGCAGAAGGTCAACAACGAAGGTGAAGGTGACCCCTTCTATGAGGTGCTGGGCCTGGTCACCCTGGAGGACGTCATTGAGGAGATCATCAAGTCCGAGATCCTGGACGAGTCTGAGGACTACGGTGAGTCTTGCCTCCTGCAGTTTTGTGGCTCAGCTGATCTCTCAGGTTCACTGAGATGTGTGTCTCAAATTCACGGGTTGGCGAGTCTCTGACCAGAGATGTTATCTCTGGTTTTTTCCCCCTGAGTATCGCCCCTTTACAGGAGGGTCCACTCCTGCCCATGGATGAAGAGTCGTGGCCCATCTATTGGTGGATCTGCAGTTCCAGTGCTTAGGGCTCCCCTCATTTTCTCCGTTACTGAGGGGCTCTGCCCTTAATGTGCATTTCCCAGACTTTCCTCACACCTTTTGCTTCTTATGTGGTTTGTACATTACAGAAGTGTCTCCTCAGAGAACTTGTTTTTTGCTAAGGAGGTGGCCCCAGGAGGTTCTTGGGGCCATGGTTGTGCCTTAGAAGCATCTGCCCCTTAGGATGGTGGCTTCGGTCTGCAGGGTTGACATGGAACCCATGCTCGATGACTGGGGCCTCTCATGGTACTGAGAATGCTGGGCCACCCTTCCATGTGTGCTGTCATGGAATTGCTTGGCCTGTGCGTGTATCCCACAATGCACCATTGTTAGTTTTGTTTCTTGACTGCTCTAGGCACAGGGCCACTAGGTTAGCTGCCATTGTGTAGCACTGGGGCTCCTCCAGTGCCCACTTTCTGGGGAGCAGTCTTCTAGTGACCACAGGTGTCTGTCACTTTGCTTCTTCTTTGCATCATGTCAGCATTATCTTCTCCCAATTCCAAGGAGAGGTACAGTCTTTTCTGGTACTTCCTCGGGGTGTGGCTGCGATATAGGCTACTTTCCCTCTATCCTGGGTGTCAGGATTACTGTGTGGTGGCAGTGACATCTGGGGACAATCTCAGGAGCCAAGTATGTGTCTCTGGGGAGTCTCAGTTATCCCCCAGGAGCCCCCAGTCTTGTGGAGGGGATACAGGCAACACGCTGGTGCCTAAGCCTGTTCTGCTTACCATCCCAGGAGACGCCATGGTGAGGAAGAAGCCTGCTTCTCTCAGTGCCCCCCTCAGACGGAAAGAGGATTTTTCCTTGTTCAAGGTGTCTGACGATGAGCATAAAGTGAAAATCTCGCCTCAGCTTCTCTTGGCTACCCAGCGCTTCCTTTCCCGAGGTGAGGGTGAAGGGTGTGCCTTGTCCCCACTCTCTTGCTAGCCATCCGGTGGGTCAGGTGACCACTCCCCCCAGGGCAGGCATGGACTGCTCCACCCCTAATAAGCAGGAGAGCATCTAGGAGAACCTCAGGGCTTCTCCTGGCTGCCCTGTCAGCAGAGACACTCTTCTGGATGCTCAGGTTGCCTGAGGGGGCAGCTCCTCTGTGCCAAACAGCTGAAAGCCAGGGCCAGGCTGGTGCCACCTGTGGTGTATGTGGCTGCCCAGTCCTTGTGTTGGGAAGGGGACTCGGCTGGAGGGCCAGCCAGGACATTGCAGGTGCGCAGCAGGAGTCAGGGTGGTTACATAGGCCAGTCAGGACCCAGTGGCCACTTCTCTTCTCTCTGCCCTGGGCAGAGGTGGATGTGTTTAGCCCATTACGAATCTCAGAGAAGGTCCTGCTGCACCTGCTGAGGCACCCCAGCGTCAACCAGGAGGTGAGATTTGATGAGAGCAACCGCCTGGCTGCACATCATTACCTGTACCAGCGCAGCCGGCCTGTGGATTACTTCATCCTCATTCTGCAGGTAACCAGGAGCCGGGGCCAGGCCCCCACCGGATTGGAAAGCAGGGAAGGGTCTGAGAGAAGGAGGCACATGTAGGTGCATCCCTGTGTAATCAGAGTGGGTACTTCCTGCCTTGCGCCCTTCCAGCAGGAATGGTAATGTGTATACCTCTGTGTGTCTCCCTCCACCTCCCAGGGCAGGGTTGAGGTGGAGATTGGGAAGGAGGGCCTGAAGTTCGAGAACGGGGCCTTCACCTATTACGGCGTGTCTGCGCTGACCGTGCCGTCCTCGGGTAAGCTGCAACCCCCTCCTGAGCGAAGGCTGGGCTGGCCGTGGGGCTCTTCCCCGGCTTTAGCTGGGGCCCTGGGGCCAGGTTCTGCCCTTTCTTCTCCAGTGCTTAAGCCTCCTTCAACGTGGTCTGCTTCAGGACGTGCTGGATTTCCTACTCTAAGTGTCATGGAGCGGGAAGGGGCAACATTTTTTCAGGGCTCGTCTTTGCTGCTCACCCCCGTCCCTGTAAAACTTCTCCCTGGATGAAGTATGTTTGCCAGCTCTTAAGTGCTGGTCGTAGTCCCTCCCCAGTGTGACTGTGGGGTGGATCTTAGAGGCTGTGCAGTTGTCCCCACCAGAGTGGGGCCTGCCCGGCTCCCAGCGTGGCTTCCCCATCACTGATTGTTCCTTTTACTAGTTCACCAGTCCCCAGTGTCCTCGCTTCAGTCCCTCCGCCATGACCTGCAGCCCGAGCCAGCTGACGGCACCCACTTGTCCACGTATTGTCCTGACTACACCGTGAGGGCCCTCTCTGACCTGCAGTTCATCAAGGTTTGGGCTGCTCATTGGTGCTGGCTTCTAATCAGCTTTGTGTCCCGAAGGGGCTAGACCACATAGTTACCAGTTTATGTGGATTGAGAGTAAATTTCCGTGGAGTCAGTCTGAGATGTCCCAGAGCAAATCTTGAACTTGCTCTGCATAATGATGGCCTTGGCTCCCCAGGGGCCCCCTCTGACCACTGCTGATCTGGTCCTACACACCCAATTTCTAGATGAGATCTTAAAGGCACTTTGCTTGAATGCTTTCTTCTGCCCTTACACCCACCTGGCTCAAGTGCTTGTGGGCAAGAGGTGGGTGTGGGGGGTATGACCACATGCCTCACCTGCCCAGTAATGCACTCTGTCCTCCAGGTCACACGACTACAGTACCTCAATGCACTCCTGGCTACACGAGCCCAGGACCTGCCACCGTCCCCTGAGAACTTGGACCTTCAGGTCATTCCAGGCAGCCAGACCAGGCTCCTCAGTGACAGGACAGCCTCAGCAGCAGCAGGTGAGCCTGCATGGCCACATTCCCCATGTGTGAATCAGGAGGCACGTGCCCTTCCGGTCCTTGCTGCTGGCACACGCGCTCGCTGCTCTCACTCCACCCTGCATTCTTCTGTCTTCCTCCTTTTTTGTCCCCAGCCTCTTTATTTTTATTTTTACTTAGAAAGAGGGGAAGGGGGGGAGAAAAAGAGGGGAGAAACATCCATTGGTTGCCTGTCATGTGCTCCCTGACCAGGGACTGAACCTGCAACCCAGGCATATGTTTTGACTGGGAATCGAACCGGCAACCTTTCACTTCAAGGGATGAGCATTCAACCAACTGAGCCACACAAGGTTGGGCCACACAAGGTTGGGCCACACAAGGTTGTTTCAATGCTATTAAAAACAGCTTCTTGCTGTTTTTAATAGCTTGGGTGATACTGAGCTGTAATAGACCACTAGGTACTTGAGTATATGAAGTCAGCATTTTCTCTTGAGGGCCTGTTAGGATGATTGACTGAATTAAGGAACACTTGTTAAGTGGGAATAAGATCAAGTTCAGAATCTCTGTTGGCCATTTAGAATTAGGGTTAGGTCACTTGGAAAATGAAGATTTGGGTCACCAGTGGATCTGGCTCAGAAGGCAGGTGGCTGGTGGGCACCATCCCAGCTAGAAAGGGCACCTGAGGCCTGTGGTTAAATCACACTCGTGTTTAAAGCAGGCCCGCGTTCTCCCCCTGGGTCTCACCGTGTGCAGGAGCAGGGTGTCGGGAGGCTCAGACTGTGTGATAAGACAGCAGCCCCATCCTGCACCTGTATGGAGGGAGGGTGCAGAGTGGCCTGTAAAGGGTGGGCTTTGGGGATGAGTGGTCAGTGCCTGGGAACTTTGTTGTCCGTGTTAATCAGGTTCTTTTCCTCTGGTTGAGCTCCTAGGTTAGGCTGAGAGACACTGCGGTGGTTGGCATTCCCGGAGGAGGATGTGGGGCTGCGGAGAGGCCGTGGGAGGGAGCGCAGGCCTCGGGGCCTGACGCCTGCAGTGGGGACACTGGGCTCTTAGTGACCACTTAGTGTGCTGGGCACTGCTCAGCGCTTTCTTTATCCTCACTCGTGTGAGAGCACTTCCCTGAAGTTTGAGAGGAGGTAGTTTCCCAGATGAGGAACTGGAGGCAGAGACAGGCGCAGGCACTCTGGCCTGGAGCCTGTGCATGCCCTTGGTCTCTGGGCTGTGGTGGAACAGCTCTGCTCACTCAGACCCGTGCTCGAGGACACAGGTGTGTTCTTGTAGCAGAAAGGTACTTTCTGAGAGGTACAGATGCAAGGGACAGATGCAAGGGACAGCAGACCCCATGTTTTTGCCACTTTGGTGGCTTAGCCCAGTGCCTCATCCCTGGGTGCTGGGAAGAGAGGGCCCCAGGTGGTGTGTGCTCCTCAGCCCCATGTGTGGCTGGCCCAGGACCAGCTACTGAGTGGACATCCGTGCTGTCTTCTGGGGCTGGTGGCGCTCCTGTGTGTACCATTATGATGTCCTTTGATTTTATGACATCTCCTTGCATAGAGGTTTTCCCCATTGCACTAGACTGGTGTCTCAAAAGCCAAGACACTTGTTTGCAAGCCTTTTGGTTTTGGTTTTCCCACGCGGGAGCCGTCCAGGCTGTGTCCGCTGCCCGGAGTGCACATGTCACATTCAGGGCGAGTCTGAGAGCAGTGGTTTTCTCTTCGTTTTCTCTTTTACCAGATACCCAGAGGTCTGGTCTGGTCTTTTCTTTTCAACTCCTCACCTGAGGATACTTTTTAATTGCTTTTAGAAAGAGAGGAAGAGAGAGAAAAACATCACTTCAGGGATCGTACATACCTGGACGGGGGATTAAACTAGCAGCCTAGGCATGTGTCCTGACGGGAATCGAACGTGCAACCTTCTGGTTATGGGATGGTGCTGCAATGAACTGAGCCACACTGGCCAGAGCCTCAGAGGTTTTGTTTGTTTGTTTTTTATTGATTTGAGAGAGAGAGAGAGATAAAAGAGGGAAACATTGATTTGTTGTTCCACTTATTTATGCATTCACTGGTTGATTCTTGTGTGTGCCTTGACCAGGGATTGAACCTGCAACCTTGGCATATTGAAACAGCACTCTAACCAACTTAGCTAACCAGCCAGGGGGGTCTCCTCAGAGGTTTTTAAAATCCTTTTTTTGGCTTCAGCTGCTCAATGGGCAGTTATGTAAGATAGTAACTTATAGTGGCTCTGCAGGTCATTTCTTCTTTGCAACAGGTTATCATCTCCTATAGTCATATTGTGGGTTCTTTTGCATGTTGCTTGACATTTACCCCCATGAGGCTTGCCTCTCGTCTTTCTGCCCCTGGCTTTGGACCTCTGGCATCTCGATGCAATTTCTCTGTTACCCTGGAGGATTTCCTGTTGCTACATGCATGAAGGTTTCACCATGCACTGCTTCAATAGGATGGGTCAGAGCTGCCGCTGGGTGACGTTAGTACTGGGTTCCAATGCAGAGAGGTGCCTTTATTTACATGCTTAGAAAGGACGATGATTTTTGACTGCTTATACCAGGGTTGGCAAAGTGCACAAAGGGTTGGGTCTGGCATGCTGTTCTTGTAAATAAACTTTTTATTAGGACCCAACTCTTTTTTCACTGATTATATATGGCCGCCTTTGAGCTACAGTGGAATTGAATTGTTACAGAGACCATATGACTTGCAAAACCTAAAAATATTAGTCCTTTACAGAAACAGTTTTCTGTTGTCTGACTTGCCATTTTAAATTTGAAGTAACACCTCCACAATGAGCATTCACAGAACTGGATTTCCCAAGGAAAATCCACTGAGGACACTGTGTTCCTTGACTCTCTTATTCTGAGCAGCCAGAAACAGTGTCTGTGCACCTCTGCCTTGGCTCCTGGGCGGAACCCAGGAGTTTAACTGCTTGCCAGGCAGCCCCAGGTCTGGGGAAAGCAAGTGTTGGTCTGCCTGGGGCTGCGGGCAGAGGCTCTGCGGGGTCGCCTCAATAGCCTGCCTCCTCTTCTCTCTTTCTCTCTGCTCTCTCCAGCCTGCCCAGTAGATGTTTCCTTCTTTGGCACATTTGGAAACTGCATTTGATAATTGACTGGACTAGTGAGCATTTTTTGTTTTAAGAAAACACCCAAGGTAAATATCTTTCTTTTGCTTTGCTTTCCTTTCCCAGCTGTTTAGCTGCCAGGAGGAGCACAGAAACTGCTTCCCTGGCCAGGGAGGCATTTCTCTGAGGATGGGCCTGGCTCCTTCCTGTCCCTTCTTGCTACTTTTCATTTTTCTAGAAGATAGGAGGACTCATGGAAAACCTTCCCGTCCATGAAACCTAAAGCTCCCTTCTAGGGCGGGCTGCCATTGCCCAGCCTTATGGCCTTGGCCTCCAAGGTGCAGAGCCCCAGCCCCTGCTTTGCCGCCTCTCAGTGATGACACCTCTCTTTGCAGTGGCGACTCTGAGGCAGAGTCAGGCTGGCCGTTTTCCCAGCCATTCACTCCCAGGTCTGCCACGATACTTGCTGTGGCACCTCTCCCTGACTTGACACCCTTCACTGACTGCGATATTCTCCTTTTTTCCTGTAGGTTCCAACCACAGCAGACCCAGCCTCCCGGCAGAGGAGAGCCCTGGGCGGAACCCAGGGGTTTAACTGCTTGCCAGGCAGCCCCAGGTCTGGGGAATAGACAAGCACGTGGGGAATGGAGAGAGTCCAGCTGCGGAGCAGCTTCCCACCAGCCTGTCCTCATCCCTTCCAGGCCACGTTTTAGATGGCCCTTACAGATGTGGGTCCTGAGCTGTTCTCAGAACCAGGCGTCAGTGCCAGGAGCCTTCAGGAGGTCCTGCCTCCTTTAGGAAATGGGGGTCAGCTAGGCACAGCCCCCCAGGCCTGCTTCTGAAGGGAGTCCAAGGAACACCATCATTTCTGTTTTCCAGGCCCAGCCTTCTCCCAGTGACAGTACAGTGTGTCTGTACCCTTTGGGCCAACCCAGGATGTGAGTGCACAATTCCTGCCTTTGTGTGGCTGTGACCTGTACTCACTTTGCTCCTAATCTGCCAATCTTCTGCTGCTGGCAGCACTGTCTGAGCAAACCAAGAGCACCAGTTTTGGCTGGAGTTTCAAATCCATGGCCAAGGCCATGGTGAACTTTGTGGCTTTCCTGACAATGCCACATTTCAGAGCACACACCAGCCTGTCCTATGTGCCAAACCTGGAAGCACGATTCTTCACAAGTCTGTGCCACTAGTCCTGCCCCTCCTGTGGAGGTGGCTTTTCTGACCTTTTTAGAGCCCTAAGCATGCCACCTGGCCCCCTGGGGGACTGACAAGGCCTGCTCTTCCTGCTGCACCTCTGCCTGTCTTGCTTAGTGGTGATTAATAATACTGTCATTTTGTGTTTTAACAAGAGGTCACATATGAGAGGAAGGGCTCTTTTGCTGCACCTAATCCTTCCTTCCTTGTCAGATCCAGGGGGAGTGACCAACTGTCAGACGCCATCACACTGTCTTCCTGGCCCTTGGTGGGGGACCTTGCGAGGGGTGCATGGAGGGCAGCGAGGGGGGGAAGGGCTGGAGGAGGACCAGGTGGGTCACCGTCATCTTTCTTTAAAAAAAAAAAACAACCAAAAACATGAAATCAGAGTTTTTCTATATCTCTGAAACATTTTAAGCTCTTTGCCTATTTTCTGTCCCTAGCCGTTGGGTTTTAGAGAATCAGGAATGAGAAGGCATGTCTTTTTCTGGTTTACCTCTGTTTACTGTCCACAGTTCTTTGTGTAGAAATGGGGGCATCACAGGGACCTAAGGATCTGAAATTGGGTAGGGCGAGCGGAGGATTTCTGGAAAATTTCTCAGAGGAATTTGGGTCCTTATTGGGGATCAGTGGGGATGAAGGTCTCCAACAGTAGTGATGTGCTTGCTGAGAAGTCGTTCTCACGGAATTGACTCCGAGAGCAAAATCCCAGGTGGGAAACAGACACAGCAGGTCCTTGAATAATGTCTCATTCTGATGTGGACGAGTTGCCCTAGGAACTTAACTCTGGCTTAGTACCAATCAGCCTGTGGTAAAATTGATTTTGTTGTAGTCGGTTTGCTTAAAGTTGCAGAACCTGTTTGATATTAAGTGAGGACTTCACTTTAAAGTCATCTTGCTCCTGAACAGTGGTTCTTCCCCTTGGCTGCACATTGGAATCACCTGGCAAGTTAAAAAACACTGCTGGGGGCCCACCCCAGGATTCAGCATCAGGACCTTATATTTTAAAAATAATTTTAGATTCATAGAAGAGTTCCACGTAGCTCCCCTTCATCTAGCTTTCCCCAGTGTTAATATCTTACATCACCTTGGTAACTTTAGCAAAACTAAGAGATTAACATTGGTACAAAGAGAACTAAATTACACTTTATTTGGATTTTACCAGTTTTTCTAATGTCCTCTTTCAGTTGCAGGATCTAATCCAGGATACCATTTTGCATTTAGAGCTATTACCTTACTTTTCTCTTTGTTTTGAAATAATTACAGATTCAGAGGAAGTTGCAAGGATAGAGGTACCCTTCACCCTGTTTTCCTTAATGGTTACATCTTTCTTAGTTACAGTACAGTATCAAGCCAGGAATCAGACACTGGGCAGTGGGGGTGCATTGTTCTGTATCATCTCACGTGGAGCTTGTGTAACCCCCACTACAGTCTAGGCACAACTGTCCCATCAACATCAGGATGTCCCTCCAACTACCCTTTCAGAGCCACCCTCCCCCACCCCCCAAACCCCGCCACCATCCCTGATCTCCAGTAACCACTAATGTGTTTGTCATCTCTATAATTTTATTTCAAGAATGTTACATAAATGGGATCATACAGTGTGCGGCCATTTGGGGCTGGCTTTCCGGAGCGCATGCCATGGAGGTCCATCCAGGTGGTTGGCATGTGTCGGCAGTGCATCCCTTTTGGTGGTTGCATGATGTTCGTGGTATGTGCTCATTGTTCCGGTTAAGGACATCTAGGTGGCTTCCACTACTTGGCTCTCCCAAATAAAGCTGCTATGAACACTCATTACAGGTTTTTGTGTAAACATTGGTTTATTTCTCTGAGGTAAATACCTAGTAGTATAATTACTAGATTATGTGGCCATTGCATGTTTAGTTTTTAAGAACTGACTTTCAGAGTGGCTGAACAATCTTACATCCCCAGCAGCAATGTACGAGTGACCCAGGTTCTCAGAATGCTCGCTAGCATTTGTTATTGTCCCTGTATTTTATTTTAGTCATTCTGGTAGGTATGTAGTGATACCTCATTGTGATTTAATTTGCATTAACATAATGGTTAATGTCTATCTCTTCACGTGTATCTCTTTCACTGTGTGAGATATCTGTGCATGTCTTTTGCCCACTTTCTCATTAGCTTGTTTAATTTTTTACTGTGGAGTTTTAAGAATTTTAAATATACTAAATACTAGTCTTTTGTCAAGGTTTTGGTTTACAAATATTTTCTCCCACTCTGTAGCTTATTTTCTCATCCTCTAAACAGGATATTTTACAGAGCAAATATTTTTAATTTTGATCAAGTCCAATTTATTGATTCTTTTTTTCTTTTATAGATTATGTTTTTGGTGTCATAACTAAGAATTCTTTACCTCTTACTAGATCCTGAAGATTATCTCCTGTTTTTCCCTAAACTTTATAAACTTGCTTTAATCCATGTTGAGTTAATTTTTGCATAAGGTATGACACAGGCCAGGGCTTATTTTTTTATTTTTTAAAGATTTTATTTTAGTTTTAGGGAGAGGAAGGGAGGGAGAAAAAGATGGTGAAAATATCAGTGTGGATACCTTGTATTTCTTGCCTAATTGCTCTGCCTAGGGCTTCCAGTACTAAGTTGAATAACAGTGGTGAGGTGAGAGTGGGCATCCTTACCTTGTCCCTCATCTCGGAAGAAAAGTTTTCAGTTATCTACCACTGAGCTTATTGGCCGAGCGTTTGTCAAAAGTGGTCTTTTTTATGTGAGATACTTTCCTTCAATACCCTTTTTATTTACTGTCTTAATCATTAGTAGATGTTGCATCTTGTCAAGTGATTTTTCAATGTCAATACAATTACGGGATTTTTACCTTTTTTATTTTGTTAATGTAGTGTATTGCATTAATCAATCTGCATGTGTTGAATCATCCTTCTGTCCCAGGAATAAACCCTCCTGATCGTGATGCTGTGATCTTTTTAATGTTTTGTTGTATTTGATTTGCTAGGATTTTGTTTAGGATTTTTGCATCTGTGCTCATCAGAGAGAGTGGTCTTTAGTGTTCTTGTGGTGTGTTTGCCTGATTTTGGTATCAGGGTAATGTTGGCTACATAAAATGAGTTAGGAAGTATTCCCTCTTCAATTTTTTTGGAAGAATTTCAGGATAGTGTGCTCTAAATGTTTGGGTAGAATTTCTAGTGGAGCCATCTGGTCCTGGGTTTTGTTATTTTGGGAGGGTTTTTTTTGGTCCGTTTCTTATTGGTGATTGAATTTGATAGCATATAGCCTTTCACAGTATTCTTGTGCAATCCTTTGTATTTCTGTTATGTCCACTGGAACTGCTCTTTGTTTCTGATTTATCGAGTCTCTTTTTTTCCTTAGTGAGTCAAGCCAGATATTTATCAACTTTACTCTATTTTTCTTTGTTCTCTATTTTTTATTTTTGCTCTCATTTTTATTTCCTCTCTTCTACTGACTTTTGGCTTCGTTTGTTCTTTCTCTAGATCCTTAAGGTGTAATGTTAGGTTATTTGAGACTTTCCTTGTTTCTCGAGGTAGGCCTGCAACGCTGTGAACTTCCCTTTCAGTGTGGCTTTGCTGCATCTCCCAAACTTTGGTGTGTTGTCATTTTCATTTGTCTCAATCTTTTTTTTTTTTTAATTTTTAATTTTATTTTCATCCATTTTTTTTTTAGGAGGAAAGGAGAGAGGGAGAAACATTGATGCCGGAGAGAAACATCAATTGCTTACTTTCTCATACATGTCCCAATCAGGGGTCAAACCCACAACCCTTCAGTCTGTGGGATGACGCTCCAACCCACTGAGCCACACCGGCCAGGGCTCTCTGTGTATCTCTTGACCTCTTTTATTTCTTCTCTGACTTAGTCATTGTTCTGTAGTGTGTTGTGTAATCTCCACATATATGTGTTTTTTCCAGGTTTTTTCTTGCAGTTATTTTCCAGTGTTACACTGTTATGATGGGGAAGTATGCTTGGTATGATTTTGGTATTCTAAAATTTTATCGAGACTACTTTGGGGCCCCAGCATATGGTCTGTCCTCATGTTCTGAGTACACCTGAGATGAATGTATATTCTGTCATTTTGGTATGGAAAGTTCTATAAATAGTGATTATGTTCTTTTGGCCTAATGTGTCATTTAAAGTTGATGTTTTTTACTGACTTCCTGTTTGGATGATCAGTCCATTCTGTTAGTGGGGTACTCATAAGATCCCCTAGTGTAATTGGGTTTTTTTTTTCAGGTTCTCCCTTAGGTCTGTTAGTATTGCTTTCTATATTTTGGTGCTTCCTGGCTGGGTGCATATATGTTGATAAGTGTTAAATCTTGATGAATTATCCCCTTTATCATTATGTCTGTCTGTCTGTCTGTCTTCAGTCTCTTGCTACCTTTGTTGTCCTGAAATCTATTTTGTTTCACCCTGGCTGGTGTGGCTCAGTGGATTGGGCACCAGCCTGCAAACCAAAGCGTCGCCAGTTTGATTCTCAGTCAGGGCACATGCTTGGGTTGCAGGCCAGGTCCCCAGTGGGGGACACAGGAGAGGCAACCTCACATTGATGTTTTTCTCCCTCTCTCTCTCCCTCCCTCCCCTCTAAAAATAAATAAATAAAATCTTTATTTTAAAAAATCTTTCATATAAGTTTTGTTTCATATAAGTACAGCAATACCTGCTTTTCTCTTCATGACTTTGCTTGGAATATCATCTTCCACCCCTTTACTTTGAACCTATGTTTGTCTTTGTAGCTGAGATGTGTCACCTGAAGGCAGCGTATAGTTGGGTCTTGGATTTTACTCCATCTTTTATTCTCTGCCTTTTTTAAAAGCCTTTTTAAAAGAAAGATTTATTCATTCATTCATTTACAGAGAGAGGGGAAGAGACAGAGGAAGAGAAATATCAATGTGGGAGAAACATTGCCTGGTTGTCTTTCACACGCCCCCAACTGGGGACCCAGCCCACAATGCAATCCAAGCTCCCGACTGGGAATTCAGAATTAAACCATCAACCTTTTTGTTTGTGGGACAATGCCCAACCCACTGAGCCACAGCAGTCTGGGCTAAACTGTGCCTTTTTATTGGTCAGTTCAGTGCATTTACATTTAGGATGATTATTGATATATGAGGACTTAGACTAATGCCATTTTATCTTTTTCTCTTCTGGTTGCTCTGTATCTCCATTATTTCTTTTCCCTTGTGTTTCTGTCTGCTATTTTAGATTGGTGGTTTTCTATGATTTTTTCCCCTTAATTTTCTTTTTTATGTTACATGTCTCAGCTCTAGATTTTAGGTTTATGTAAAAACAAAGTTTCATACATACAATAGTTTTTTCCTCTGATTGCATCTTCATTCACCTGTGCAAGTTAAGCCACCCCCCCCTTTATGTTTCTGTTGTCACAAAAAAGCCCTTTTTATGCTGTGTTCCTTTCCAAGTCGCAGAAGTTAAAGTCTCTCTTTAAAATGCTTCTTCCCCTTTTAACCTTTATTATTGTTTGTGCCCTATCTAAAAGAGTTGCAATTTCCTCCTTCGATCTGTCCATTTTTCTCCTTCAAAGTTTTTTTAAAAATCATTTATTGATTTTAGAGAGGAAGGGAGAAGAACATCAATATGTTGTTCCACTTATTTTATGCATTCATTGGCTGACTGTCTTAAGTGCCCTGACCAGGGATCAAACCCATAACCTTGCGTATCAGGACAGTGCTCTAACCAACTGAGCTACCTAGCCAGGACTCAAAAATTTTAATATACTTTTATCTTTTTGTTTCAGGTAGATGAACTCCTTTAAACATTTTCTGCAGTGCAGGTCTTGTGGTGGTAAATTTCCTTAGCTTTTATTTGTCTGAAAAAGTCTTCATATCTAAAGGTTAACTTTGCTGGTTGGTAGTTTCTCTCTTTCATTAATTTTAAAATTATTATTATTTTTAAATATTTATTTATCTATTTATTTATCTATTTATCTATCTATCTATCTTTAGAAGGGAAGGAGAGAGGGAGAGAAACATCAATGTATGGTTGCCTCTAGTGTGCCCCCTGCTGGGGACTAGCCTGCAGGGAACCTGCCTGCAACCCAGGCATGTGCCCTGACTGGGAGTCAAACCGTGATCTTCTGGTTCACAGACCTGCGCTCAATCCACTGAGCTACACCAGCCAGGGCTCATTATTTTAAATATTTCATTCTACTCTCTTCTGGCTTGTAAGATTTCTGGTAAAAATCCCAATCATAATCTAATAGGGTTTTCTTTGTAGGTTACAATCTTTTTGCCTCTGGCTACCTTGAGAATTCCTTGTCATTAATTTTTTGACAACTTTAATATAATGTGTCCTAGAGGTTGACATAATTAGGTGTTCAGTTAGCAGCTGCTGCTTTCCGCCCCCCTCCCATATGATTGTTTATATGAAATTCTAGAGGAGGTATAAAAGTTATTCTAGAAGAGGCAAAAGTAACCTATAGTGACAGAAGTAAGGCCAGCCTGGGCCTCAGGGCTGGTGGCTGATTGACTGCAAAGGGACATGGGAGAGCATTTTGGAAGATGTCCTGTACTTTGACTGTGGTTGTAATTACACAGGTATATACATGTGTCAGAACCCACGGAAATGTGCTCTGAAGTGGGTGCATTGTTACCATATGCAATTTATACCTCAAAGTGGGGACAAGAAGAGGAGGCAGCCAGGACAGAATATTCACATTAAAGATAACACGAGCTCTATTAGCTTCTTGAATTTAAGGGTCCAGCTCTTACCATAGGTTTGGCAAGTTCTTATCAATTATTTATTTGATAAGCTCTCTGTCCCTTCTCTTCTGTCTTCTGGCGCACCCATTATCCTTGTTTCTCTTTCTGAGTCAGGTGCTTCTCACAGAGCTCTTCCATTTTCTTTAAACTCAGTTCATTTCTCCCCTGAGCCTTTTCAAGATTTCTTTGAGCTCCTAATCGTGTTCTATTTGGCCTGCTCTGATTCCAGTGCTTTCTCATTCATTCTTCCACTCATTTGAGTTCTTCAGCTCCAGAATTTGTTTGGTAAGGTTCTTCTTTTGTTTGTTGATTCTATTCCTTAGCTCATCGAACTGCCTTACTGAGTTTTTTTCATAACTGCAAACTTGAATACTCTTAAATCAGTCTTCTCTGTCTTGGAGTTTGGTTTCTGGAGACTTTCTTTCTGAGCTTCCTTGTTACCTTGGTTATTCATTTTGCTTGATAGATTGTTTCTTTGTCTGGGCACCTGATGTAGTGAACTCTTCTTTCTTAGGTAGCAGATTGAAGTATACAAGGTCTTTCTTTTGTATTCCAGCAGAGGGTGCTATAGAGCAAGTTTTTGTTTCATTTACTTGCTCTGCTGGCCCCTCTGGGATCTCCCTGGGGCAGTGTTGCCTCAGTCATGGAAAATGCCTTGTATTTCTCAAGGAGATTAGTGTCCTTTGTGTCCGGGTCACCTTGTTCTCAGAGTATTATCCCTGTGGTGGGATGTGGCAGACAGTGGGGTTCCAGGCCTGTGAGTTCCTAGTGCCGCCTTTTTGTGACTGGAGGCTGCCAACCATGCTGTGTTATCTTAGGTGTCTCCATACCAGGCTCCACCAGGAAGGGTGGGTGGGGTGGGCTGGGGGGGTTGGGTCCACAAGTGTGCAGCTTTTCCTTCTTGCTACTAATAGTGGCCACCAATCTGCTGCTGCCACACCACCGCTGTGCTGTGTTGCAGCCCAGTTTAGGTGCAGTTGGAGCCTGCTACTGAGACAAGAATATTGCAGGTTTAGCTGCAATAGTGCTATCCCCTCAGGTTGGAATGTTGCTTGTGCTGCTTACTGTTGTGTGCGAGGTACAGCCTGACTCTTTCCTTCCATTGTGTCAGCTGGGGCCACGGTGGGCACCACACTGCAACTGCAGCCCCATCTCTCCTTCCCCTGCTTGCTGCAGTGCCACCTGTGGAGGGCTCGATGTGCGAAAAGTCTCCGAGGCTCCGATGTGTTTTGTGTGTTGAATTACAGTTGTCTGACTTGTAACTTTATGATGCAGATATCACTCCTTTTTTTTTTTAGCCTGTAGGTATCAAGCTACTCTAGCACCTTTATCTTTCCTCTATTGAATTAACTTTTGTATCTTTGTCAAAAAGTCTTTTGGGCATATTTGTGTCCATTTCTGAATTGTACATTCGGTTCTCTTGGCATTTCCCTCCATCAGTACCACACTGTTGCAATTATTGTAGCTACACACAGGCACACACCTCATTTTATTGCACTTCCCCTTTTTGCGCCATGGCTTGCAAATGGAAGGCAAGGCCCTCCACCAGCAAAAAGATTACAACTGACTTTATTGCAGTGGTTTGCAACCAAACCTGTAGTATCTCCAAGATATGCCTGTAATGAGTTTTGAAATCCAGTAGACTCGTTCCCACTTTATTCTTTCTCAAAATTGTTTGAGCTAGTATAAGTTTAAAAATAATCTTATCTAGCTCTACAAAAAGTCTCACTGGAATTTTGGCAGGAACTGTATATCAATTTGGGGAGAATCGATATCTTTGCTCTGTTGCATCTTCCAAACCGTGAATTTGGTAAGTCTCCATTTATTTAAATCTTCTTTGATGTAATTCACCAGTGTTCTGTAGTTTTCAACATACAAGTCCTTATATGCTTTGTTAGATTTACACCTAAGCATTTTCGTTTCAGAAGCAATTGTAAATGGTACTGTTTTTAATTGTGGTGTTTACGTGGTCATTGCTAATAACGTAGAAATAGGTTTTTGTATGTTTATCTTACACTCTGAGATCTTGCCAAACTCATATTCCAGGTGGTTTTTTGTAGATACCTTAGGATTCCTACGTAGACAGGTCTCACCTGCACAACAGTGCTGACGCCTGGGTCCCAACCCAGGAACTTGGATCGAGTTGTCTGGATATTAGGACTTTAAAAAATTTCCCTTGTGACTCTAATAAGTAGCAAAGGCTGAGAACCACTGCTCTTTGAACCCATCAGTGAGCAAAGGTGCTTTGAGCACAAGGGCCAAGTACCCCGACTGCCCCCTCGGCACTAGGGGACGCTCTTGCCGACAGGTGGCATGGTTAACTGGCATGTGCTTGGCTGCTGAGGAAGACAAGGCTCTGGGCCTAATGGCCTGATCCCTTCTAACCCAGAACACACAAGTAGACTGATCGATAACCAACCAGTTTTAATGAACACAAAGTACTGATGCGTGTAAAAAGGTATTTTTGTCCGTCACTTAAGTGTCCCCATTTTCTAGTTGGGGAGTTGTCTTCTCCGTGAGCCTGAGTACCTCGTTTCTCCCGTGGCCTCAGCATCTGGGTGCATGCTGGCGCTGTCCACGCAAGGCAGCAGCTGCCATGGGAAGGGAAGACGTGGGGCTGTAGTCAGCTTTTTCACTCAGGAGGAACAGGCTTATTCTTGGCCTGAGAAGGCCCCCAACGTTAGGTAAAAATAACTGTAGATCGGGTGTCTGCCCCAGTGCTTAGGCATGTGAGGGAGGCTAAATCTTCATCCTGCAGCCAGTCCCTCAGCCTACAGCTCTCAGTTTAGGGCTAAGTTCTGGAAGGTTCACTCTCTGGCATTTAAGGACCCAGCCCTGCCAGGAGCACGTCTACACCAGCATAACTTGAAGTATAAAGGACAGTGAAAGAGGAGGAGCTTCCAGGAGGGCACGTTCCCAGTTGGGTCATAAATGTGCCCCTAGTTAGCAGCTGGGGGGCAGGAGCAGGTGAGTTCTCCTGCGCCCTTCGCAGTGGCACTCAGCCCCCCCGTGGCCTGCCGCAGCGGTTGCAGAAGGCAGCAGCCCCAGGGCACAGGCAAGCTCAAGCATCAGTACCAGGGCGGTGGTAGTGCCTGAGGTGAAGTAGGGTTACGGGCCACTGCCCCAAAAGCTGAGTGGGCCACAGGCAACCCCAGCACCCCAGTCACTTTACCAGGAGAGCTCCTGGCTGGCCAAGTAGAGAGCAGTGGGCAGGTGGTTCTCTAAACTGTGGCTCCAGCTCTTCAGTCTCAGGGTTTCCGTGGAAACCAGACTGGTACTGGACTTACGCTGTGGGGCCTCAGACCTGCTGGGCAGCCCCCTCCAGACCCAACACCAGAGTCCCTGAGACCAGAGTGGTCTAGAGCCACTCCCAACCCCATCAGGGTTTCTACTGACAGGAGTGGAGTCCCTGAGAAACCCCTGCCCAGGGACGCTGGCCACTTGCAGAAATGCCTGCTGTCTCTGGCCAGGACGGCAGCTTGCTGCTGGCCATGCCGAGTCAGCACCTGGCAGGAAACACCCTGGGGAGCCTGAGGTGTAGGACACCTTGGCTTTGCTCCATCCTCTTTGCTGTCCCTTGTCTGGACCCACTTTGCTTTCTTGCTCACCCAGGGTTCTACTCCAGTTCTTCCTAGCTCGTTCCCCAGCAGCAAGCAGGTTACCCCTGAGACTCGAAGCCAGGGAGGCTGTTTCAGCCACCTGCCAGGCCTGAACTCGGGGAGTTGCTTCTGTCCTGACGGCTGCCCTGGAGGCCTGAGGTCAGAACCACAGACAAGTGAGGCTAGGAGGCGAAGGGGATGGAATGGTGGCTGTGAGGGGCCCCGCAGGTCTGCTGTCATCAGCATCGAGTGCGGGGATGCCCCACGTGGGCCTGCAGAGCCTCGCGGATGCCTCGCTGCCAGTCTCGGGCCAGCTGCACCGGGGTCGCTGAAGCCTGAGGACAAGGTTGCAGGGTCAGTCCTTCAGGTGCTCTGCCCAGCCACCCTCCTGGGTGCGCGGCCAGCTCTGGGGCCTGCTGGTACTCACCTGGTTCTGCACGCCCAGCTGGGCTCCATAGAGCAGCAGTATCTTCATGGCTCTGTAGTGGCCATGCCGCACGGCCTCGTGCAGAGCCGTGTCCCCTTCCTGCCAAAAAAGGAAATGTCGGTGCTCTGCTTCCCGGGAGCATGACCACACTTGGCCCTGCTGCCTCCTCTTCCCCCACAGGTGTGCGTCTCCTAAACGCCAAGGGTCCCCGTGGCACATGGAACCAGGGGAACAATGGGAGCAGCACTCTTTCCAGGCTGACCCCTGCCCCTGCCCCAAGGCCCCCGTTCTCTGACTTCCCAGTGAGCTAAGGCATATCCTCCCTTAGGCTCTTTCCTGTTGCTTCTATCCTAAGCCTGCCCTTGTTTCACTGTCTCCAGTTTTTTGTTTTTTGTTTTTAAGAAGGGATGTCACCCTCTTAAGCTCCCCAGCTATGGGAAGGGTTGGGTTGGCAGGTGCTGTCCCTGAGCTCAGGTGCCCTCAGCCGTCGTCCCCCACCGGAGCCGTCTCCAGTGCCGACCTTGTCCTGTGCGTCAACGTGGGCTCCACACGCGATGAGGTGCTCCAGGCACTCACAGTGCCCTGTGCGCACAGCCACGTGCAGGGGGGTGCTCCAGATCTAAGGGTGTGAGGGAGAATGTCCAAAGGGCTGTATTTCCTCCAGGAACAGACGCTGTCCCGTGACCGCTCACCTGCTCCTAGCAGGCCGCCCCACTGTGGTGTAACCTCACCTTGTCCCGAGCATTGACCTGGGCTCCGTGGTTAAGCAGCTGTTTGAGGATGTCCAGGTGTCCTCCACGGCAGGCCCAGAACACAGGCGTCCTGTCCAGCTGCAAAACAAAAGCACGGAAACCCTGTGACGCTGTATGCCAGGTAGAGCCTCCACCTGGAGAATGGGCCTTCCCTGCTGCTCACCAAGTCGCGAGCGTCCACAGTGGCCCCTGCCTCCAACAGTCTGTCCACCAGGCAGCTGTGACCCTTCAGGCAGGCCCAGTGCAAGGCCGTGCGGTGGAGCTAGGGGGTGGAGATGGGGGGCAGGGTTACCATGTTTTGCAGTGTATAGTGTGCACCCATGTTTTTGGCCTTCATTTTCAGGAAAACAATTTTTTTAAACTTGCTTTTAGAGGAAGGGAGAGAAACATCAATGTGTGGTTGCCCCTGGAGTGCTCCCGCTGAGGACCCAGCCCACACAACCCAGGCCTGTGTCCTGAATCGAACCAGTGACCCCTGGTTCTCAGGCCAGTGCTCAATCCACTAAGCCACATAGGCCAGGGCTGATTTTTAAAATTATTTTGAGATACTTGTTTTTGGTATTATAAAGGAATTTTAGTATTTATTTTTGGACATGTATAGAACTTTTACATAACAAATAATTACAAAACACAACAAACAGATACAAGGTATTTCAGGTTATCTTGCCCTCCAAATTTTGGGCAAAAAAGTGCACATTATACACAGCAAAATATGGTAAGTTGATGGAACATGGCCACCACTAGCAGTCCTACCTCTAATCCCGTTCCCAGAGCTGGTGCCCTGTACAGAGCTGCCTGCTCCAGAATCACACCAAGGGCCCCTTCCTCTGGCTCAGCAGGTACCAGGGGTTTGTGTCCCATAAAACAGAAAAGCACCCCAAAGACCCCTGCAGCTGCTGAGCTGCTCTGTCTCGCTCCACCCTCACTACCTTGTCATGGGCATCAGGGTCCCCTCCATCTGTCAAGTACTTGTCAATCAGGGCTTCCTGGTTCTCTGCAGCTGCCTTCAGGAACGTCTCCAGGTCCACAGGCTCCAGCTGGACTTGGGGCTGCAGCTGGGAAAGTTAAGGACGAGAGCAAATCCACAAATGGTGGGCCTCAGGGATGTCACCACTAGTCACACTAGGTGGTCCCCACAGAGACACTGTCAGCTTGTACAAATAATAGGTTTTTTAAAAAAAAACAAACCCAGGAGATTCTGGCCGAACAGCTGTTTGGATGGGGGTAGTTCGGGGTTTACTTGTGTCCCCCCCGTTCATATGTTGAAGTCCTGACCTCCAGAACTTCAGAATTTGACTTTATTTGGAAACAGGGTCATTGCAGCTGTAGTTAAGATGTCATACTGAAGCAGAGTGGGCCCTAATCCAGTGTAACTGGTGTCCTTAAAAAAGGGACATTTGGAATCAGACATGCACTCGGGGAGAGCGCCACGTGAGCATGAGACAGAGCCTGGGGGATATGTCCTCAAGCAAGGGAACACCAAGCTTTGCCACCAGCCCCCAGGGACTTGGACAGGCCTGGACAGACTCCGTCACAGCTCCAAAAGGAGCCCATCTTGCTGACAAGACCGCAGCAACCTCCAGAATTATTTAAGCCCCAGCGGCCCCAGCAACTGAACACAGGGTGGGGGAGCTCCAGAATGGACTGTCCAGCTCATCAGTTGCCGCTGTGCAGGTGTGGCCCAAGCCCCGCCCCGCCCAGCATCTCGCCCACCTTAACCACGGACTCAGGTGCCCTGGGGGGGACTCTGCGTTTCAGTCGCTTTTCTCTTCGTCTTTGAACCAAGTTTTCCAAGTCAGCCAGATTCTCCAGGGTAAGTCTGGAACTCTTAAATCTCTCAAGCTGGGGCAAAAGACAAAAGACCGGGCCAGCCATCAGCCACAGGTGCTGGGCCTTAGGGGCAGACTCTTACTCCAAGCCCCATCTTCCCAGCCCAGTGCAGAACCACCAGCTGCCCTGGCTGCCACCCTGCACCACTCACTCTTCTCCTCTTCTCTTCTCCCAGCTTCTGCCTCTCCTGGGCCACGGCCTCATGGGGTCCCAGCCTCCAGTTGCCCGGCCAGACTCCAGGATCAGGAGCTTCATATCCACGTCCCAACACTTTACTTTCTTCTCTTTCTCCACTTACCTGTGGGAACAGGGTAAGATAAAGAAGAAAATGACAAGTCCTTGGAGAACCTAGCTGTGTAGCAGGGGTCCTGACAAGAGCTGACCAACGCAGGTCAGTGTCCTGGTCTGAGGGCTGGCCTGGCCCTTCTCAAAGTTCCCGGAGCCAGGGTTGCTGCTGGCTCTCACCAGCAGTCACCTACCCTGTCCTGTCAGCAAGGGCGTAGGGCTGGGGGTGTGACCCCGCATCTATTTTTACTCCTGGGCATACGACACCTCAGCTTCCCTTAGGGGCTGGTTGCTGCCCTTACATTCCTACCAGATCATGCCACAGTGCCACCTGGCCCCAATCTTGGAGGGACAGAGGAGATGCTGCCTGGGTAAAAGTCTGAAGTTCTGGGTTCACATCTTGGCTCTTCACAGAGCTACTTCTTCATCAGCAAAACGGTGTCGAACCAGCACTCAGCTCACATTGCTGTGCTGGGGCAGAACCCATCCCCTGATGCTGCACCAGCCTGTTCTTCCAGACCCTCCCCCAGGGCATTAGGAACTGGGGGCACCAAGGAAGGAACATGAGGGGAGGAAACGAACGGTTAGAATGACAGGATGTCAAGGCCTGGGGCTTCTAGCCACAGAGAACTGTATTCCCTTTTCAAAGCAAACGCTGGCAACCTAACACTCCTTGGGCTCTGCAGCCGCTCCTGCAGAGGCTGTGCTGGGCTGTGGCCAGCTGGTCCTATGGCATCCTGGGCCTCCTATATCCCACCTCACCAAAACACAACCCCAAGTGTCACCAGTGGTCCTGTGACTCTCAGTGTCCAGGGAACTGGAGCACCGTCCTCTCTCCCCAACCAAGGCCTCCAGACTCCAGGGCCATTTCCAGAGCAATTGCAATCCTGACAGTTGAGCTAAACCAAGGCCCAGCTATAGTCACATTTTCCAAGGGAGCCTGCCTTTTCCTGCTCCTCTAGCCATCACAGCCAGAGCTTACTAAACTCCAGAATTTTCATGTCACTGTCACCCATCATTCTGCCCATCAGTTTCCCTCTGTTGCTCCCTAACTCCACCCTCGCCACCTCCATGAGAACAGACAAACAAGAAGTTTCTGCTCTGAAAACCTGATCCTCAGACCACAGAAGTAGCTGCCTTCCCTGCTCGTTTTGCTGAGCCAGTCTGGGGGGTCCCAGATGACTGCCTGACTTTCCACCCCTCTTCCCACGTCCTTACCAACTGCTGGACACTGACGACGTCCATGGTCCCCCCCTTCCCTCTCTCCAGCCCCCAGTGAAAAGAGCTCAGTTGTCAGCCCTTTTATAGACGAGCTGTCTCCTGGGGGTGGGCAGGGCGGGGAGGCTTGTACCTGGGCCAGATGACTCTGTGGCTCTGTAACTCCCACCAAAATACCAGCGTGGCTCACAGCCACGCAGGCAGGAAGAGTGGCTGTTCTGAACTGAACCTGGTGCATCCTCAGACCTATCCTGTGCCTGCGCCATCCCCCACACCTGCTCCTGAGTAATTCTACCATAGACAAGTGTTCTGGGGTGCCCAGGCCCCTAGCCCAGATTCAGGGGGAGATGGTTCCTACTTTCCTAAGTTCAGATACCACTTAAGTCAGATGTGAGCCTCCACATTGCTGTAGGTCTGGCCACCAGAGACCCTCAGAGGCCCAGCCCAAGTGTCCTAGCGAAAGAGGGCAGGACCCTAGAGGATCCAGGAAGGACAGGCCCCGGAGGCTGCCTTCTGCTTCAGGAACCCCCCCGCCCCCCGCCCCCCCGTGACACTGACCGGAAGAAATCAGGCTTCAAGGGATTTCCCAGCTCCCGGCCGTTGTCAAGGCTGCCCCTACTTCTTCCTCACCATTCTGAGGGCCAGCATCTTTGACTATACCATCAGGGACAAGTCCAGCCTGTCATCAGCACCTTGGCCCTTGAAGATCCATCTACGTCCTGTATGCAGGTTCCTACAGTGCTCTCCTGGCGTGGGTCATGCCTTTCCATGCGGAAGGAGAGACTGACATGCGCTCCAGGCTCAAATAGACAATGGCAACCATTAATCCAGTCACAAAGCAACCTGTCACAAGCCCCAAAGTCAAACTTCCTAAGCGTCCCTAGCGTGCCAGCATGCCCTTCAACCAGCTGTGCCTTGAACTGTTATGCCTTAACCTTTGAGAGGAAATCTGATAGCCAGTAAATAAGACTCCACAGTGGGAGCAACATGAGCAGAGATGACCAAAAGAGAGGGAGGAGAAATGTGGGTCAAGGACAGCCCAGTGCCCTGAAGGGGCGGTCGGTGGCCCCACCCATTGGCTGGCTGGCTAGTTTGTCAGTTCTTGCCAGTTCTGAGACTGGAGTTTTTTAAAGAAACTCAGTCTTTATGCTTCAGGGTTTCCTGTCAAAGATGATTTCTTGCCTTTCCCTATGAAGAAGGAAAGGGTTTCTTATCCCCGAGTGCAGGTGAACAGACAAGAAAAGGTCAGACTGGCTCCGGGCTGCACTGCCAACCACACACATACTCCTCTCCCTCAGCAGTACCTGCTGGGCTTCATCTGAAACTCGGCCAAAAATGTGTTTCTTCCACATGAAACAAGCTGGCATTAACTCTGACTCACAATAAAATTACTCCTTGTAAAACGTCCACACACAGTGAGGCCCCAGAAGACCCCCTTCACTGTCAGCACGGTCAGCACTGTCCGCACTGTCCGCACGGCGGCCCCAGGGGGCCGAGGTCCTGTTGGCTACATTCCCTCCCGGCTTCGCTCCTGTGATTTGGTGGAAGCGCACGTTTCCACAGACATGTTTTAAAGTGCATCGTGCTGGGGCCAAAGCTCAGCACGTTTCCCACACCGGCATGCACCGTCCCACTGCACTGCGTTCAAATTGATGTGGACCAGAAGGTCACCGTCTCCCTGCCCGGGAGAACCCTGGTTTTCTTCTTTAACGTTACATCCCAGGCTCTAATGTGCATCTTTGTAAGTGCATCTGTAGATAAGCGTCTTTGTAGATGCTTAGACAAACAGATGAATGTCTAAGTAGCTACAGAGAAATTGAATTACTGGCTCCGTTCATTTAAATGTTGGCAAACAGCCAAACTGCTGTCTATGTTGGCTGTGCCAGTTTCCATGAACAGATACTGACAAAGACAAATGACAGTATGAAAGGAAAAAATATATACATATAAAACATGCAATCAATATCCAGAATATGTAAGCAACTCCCGTGACTCAATAAAAAAGAAAAATTTTTATTTGGGCAAAGGACATGAACAGAATTCACAAAAGACAGGTATCAACCACATTAGTACTCAGCAATTTAAAATAAAACAAAGGGCCCTGGCTGGCGTAGCTCAGTGGATTGAGCACGGGCCTGTGAACCGAAGGATCGCGGTTCGATTCCCACATGCCTGGGTTGCAGGCCGGTTCCCAGCAGGGGACCCAGGAGAGGCAACCACACATTGATGTTTCTCTCCTTCTTCCCTTTCCCTCTGAAGATAAGTAAATAAAATCTTTTAAAAAACAAATAAAGGACACTTAAATCTACCAGATTATTAAAATGAACAAAAGGTATAAAAACATGCTGGTCAGGTTTTGAGGAGGTGGGTGTTCTAATACGCGCCTGCAGCAGGCCCGGAGCGCCCTCCAGTGCTCCCCACCCACCCAGGCGTCTGCCCTCCAGTGACTCTGAGACGGGCCCGTTAAAATCATTCTCACCTCACGGGTGAGGAGCTGGGAACAGGTAAAGTGACTTTTCCAAGGTCCTTAGGCAGAAGCTTTTAATCTGTTAGATCTTCTTCCATGGTTTCTTCTAATATTTACATAATTTCGTGTTTTTCAATTTAGGTCTTTAACCTACTTGAAATTTTGGCATGGAATGAGGTAAGACTATAACTTTATTTTTTCCAAATGAGTACATGTTTCCACATGAATTAATTTAAAATAGCATCATCTGTCCAGGTTGAAGCACTTACAGCCCCCAAATCTACTCCCTCACTTCAGTGGCCAAAACTGGGCTCTTCCTGAGTCTTCAGGCCTTGGTTTCCAAACCTGCAGCATGGATGGTGACCCAAGCTGAGGCCCGGAGGCCTCGTCTGTGTATCCTTGCATGGCAGCCTGCGACAGAAGGGCGGCGATTCAGCTGGCCAGCAGGTCCCGCAGGTCACTGTTGCACGGCAGCAGGTCACATGCTAGTCGTGCCTTCCGATCCCGGACGGCCTTCAGGGCCGGGCTGTGTTGCAATAGGAGGGAGCAGATGTCCATGTGGCCCTTCTCAGCAGCCTGTGGAGAGAGCAGCCTGAATCAAAAGTCACGCTCTTACTGGGTCCTGCTCTTTTTTGCTCTACTTCCGGGATTCTCTTGGTCCTCATGGAAATGGAGACACTGGCTGTTTGAGCAGACCTCCCCTAATTCCTATGAAATCCCACGACTTGTATACAGATGGGTAGAAGACTCTATCTAGGGACTTTCTGGCAATTAAGTTGTTGGTTCTTGTGTTCTTTGTTCAGTGGCTGTTCTTCTTTGTCCAGGCTGCACATTAAAGACAAGTACAGAACCTGGAGCCTCTAAGTGTCTCTTACAAACATACCAGTCATCTGCAGGGAGCTGGGCACCACAAGCACAAGGGGCATCAGGTGTGGCCCCTGCCCTCTGGGAACTTCCAGTCGAGCAGAGAAAAGCAGGCCCAGGTTCCCAACTTTCTCCTCTTCTCCTTTGAGATGATCCCAATCTGGGTTTTAAACCCACGGGTGGCAAACACAAGGCCCGCGAGCCGAATCCAGCCCTCCACCACGTTTTATCCGGCCAGCACCTTGTTTCTACTGGGCGGCAGTGCCAAGCTCTCGCTTAACCGTTAGGGAGCAGTTACATGTATCCAGGCCTAAAGTTACATTTGGCTCTGAAGGCAACCGCAAGGCTGCTGTGGCCCCTGGTGAAAACGGGTTTGACACTCCTGCTCTATCTAACCTATCTCCAAAAAATAACAAAGTTAGCCCTGGCTGGTGTAGCTCAGTGGATTGAGCGCGGGCCTGCGAACCACACGATCGCGGTTCGATTCCCAGTCAGGGCACATGCCTGGGTTGCAGGCCGGTTCCCTGCAGGCCAGTTCCCAGCAGGGGACGCACAAAAGGCAACCATACATTGATGTTTCTCTCCCTCTCTCCTTCCCCCCCTTCCCCTCTAAAGATAAATAATAAAATATTTTTTAAAAAAAGATTTAAAAAAAAAATAACAAAGTTAAGTGATTTACACAAATTATCTTATTTAACCTTCACAGTAACCATCAGAGTGGGAACTGTCATTATTGCCATTGTATATATGAAGAAAGTGAGACTATAAAAGTTGAGTGACTTGCCTGTGGTCACGAAGCTAGTGTGGCAGCGTGGGGACCCTAAAGCAGGTCTGTCTGACCTCAAAGTGTTTTCTCCTAACAGCTGTTATTCCACTGTATTCCCTGCTCCTCCCAACAGACAGATGGATAATTATGGGAGCTTTTGAAAGATATCAAAATTAATATTATTAGCAACCATGACCTCAAATTTGAATCCAAATCATTTTTAGCAGGTACTCTTATAAATACAGACCTAGGTTCTCAATTCTGTTGCCTCAATTCAGGGAGTGGTATGTTGTGGGCAACTGTGAGGTGCATTCCAAGTAATTTAGAAATAAAAATTTATTCCAAAAATAAAGAAATAAAACCCAATGTTTGCAAGTAGTTTACTTATTTATTTATTTTTTTTAAGTCAGGATTTTAAATGATTTTCTTTCTTTATCCTCACGCAAGGACATTTTTTCATTGGTTTCAGAGAAAGGAGGGGAGCGAGAGCGTGAGAGACTGATGTGAGAGAGAAGCAGGGCCACAGGCCCTCTCGTATGCACGCCAGCCAGGGACGAAACCTGCAGCCTGGGCGTGTGCCCTGATAGGGAATTGGACCCGCAGCCTTTCAGTCTACAGGACGACGCTCCAGGCAACGAAGCCATGCTGGCCAGGGGGCAAGTAGTTAATTTTTTAAAGAAAGAATGAGAGGTCTAAGGTGGCAGTGGCCTGGGAAGACGTTGAATTCGCCCCCTCCCATAAGCACACTGAAGTATATGCCCACATATAGGGAAAGCAATTCCTCCTAAGATACAACTGAGGGCAATTGAACAGCTTCTGCATAACAAATGACAGAGCGAAACTATACTGAAGGAAGCTGAGGAACCATGGGAGCCCTCCGCGATCTGTGGGAACCCTCCGGGGTCAGAGTGCCATTGTTTGCATTCCCCTCCACCTCCACAGGGCAGGCAGGAGCTCTGTCCAGGTACTCTGGCCTACCTGGAAGGTCACCGCAGTATGTTCCCAACCGCATCACCCAGAGCCCATTTCAGCTCTGCACCAAGGGAGCAAGCGGGACCAACAGGGAATTACCACATGCACCTGGCCTCCCCATCTGACGCTGCTCTAGCTCGGCAGGCCAGTGCCTGGGGCGCTAGAAGTGCCTGCCTGGTTCCAGTGGCCTGTTCGAACCACCCAGCACACACAGCCTGCACAGAGGTCGCTTCTACATATGGCCACTTTTTCAAACTGGAAAAGATAGCTACTTTGTCTAATTATATAAATTAGAATGTCAAACAAAATGAGAACATAAAGGAACATCTTTTAAGTGATAGAACAAGAAAAATCCCTAGAAGAAAACCCTGATGAAACACAATAAACAATTTACCTGATATAAAGAATTCAAAGAAGTGATTATAAGGATTCTCACCAAACTTCAGAGTAAAATAGAGGAACTGAAGGAAAATTTCAACTTAAAGAGAAAGAGTAATAAAGGACCAAGCAGCCTGACTGGTGTGGCTCAGTTGGTTGGGTGTTTCACAAAGTGAAATGTCACTGGTTCAATTCCTTGTCAGGGCACATGCCTGGGTTGCAGGCCAGGTCCCTGGTCAGAGCACATGCAAGAGGCGGCCAACTGATATTTCCCTCTCACATCGATGTTTCCTTCCCTCTCTTTCTCCCTCCTTTCCCCTCTCTCTAAAAATAAATAAATACAATATTTTTTAAAAAGGAAAAGAATCCAGCAGACCTGAAGAATACAATAATGGAAATGAAAAATACATTAGAAGTAATCGACCTTAATTTAGCTAATACAGAAGACTGGATCGGCAACCTGGAAGCCAGACTAGTGGAAATCAACCAATCAGAACAGCAAAAAGAAAAAGGAAAGAAAAAAATGAGAATTGTTTAAGGGACCTCTGGGAAAATACCAAGCATACAAACACCCACATTGCAGGGGTCCCAGGATGAGGAAGAGAGAAAGGAGCAGGCAGCCAGGTCTAAGAAGCAGAGTTCTAGACAGAGCAAATTCAAAGAGACCCACATCAAGATATATTATAATTAAAACAGCAAAAGTTAAAGATAAAGCGCCAGTCTTAAAGGCAGCAAGAGGCAAACAAGTTGCATGCGCAGGAAGCCCCACAAGGCTGTCCACTGATTCCTCAGCAGAACCGTGCAGGCCAGAAGGGAGCGACAGGACATGTTTCAAGTGCAGAAAGAAAGGAACCTACAACCTAGGACACTTTGCCAGGCAAGGTTATCATTCAGAATTGAAAGAGAGAGTGTTTCCTGGACAAGCAAAACTTAAGGAGTTCAACATCACTAAACCAGTTTTGTAAGAAGTGTTAAAGCGTCTTCTTTAAGCAGAAAAGGAGAGACCATAACCACAAACAAGGAAATGTGAGAAAGGAAAAATATCTTCAGGCAAAGGTAAATATTTAATAAATACAGCAAGTCAACCATTTAAAAAGATACTAAGATACCCTGGCTGGTGTAGCTCAGTGGATTGAGCACGGGCCTGCAAACCAAAAGATTGTGGTTCAATTCCCCATCAGGGCACATTCCTGGATTGCTGGCCAGTTCCCAGCAGGGGCCAGTTCCCAGCAGAGGATGCACGAGAAGCAACCATACACTGATATTTCTCTCCCTCTCTCCTTCCCTTCTAAAAATTAAAATTTTATTAAAATAAAATTATTAAATAAAATTAATAATTAAAGTTTAAAAAGCTCTTCATCGATTGTTGATCTGCCAACAACAACCAAGGCTCAACTATAAGAGGAGGGTGTACTCTGCCCACACAAAGGGTGCACCTCAAATACTCAGGTCGGGTGACAGGGGAGACTGTGCCACTGGACCCTACAGGACACCTACTACATTAGGCCATGCTTCCAAGACAGAGAATCACAACAGCTCTACCTAATATACAGAAACAAACACAGGGAGGCTGCCAAAATGAGGAGACAAAGAAACACGGCCCAAATGAAAAGAACAGACCAAAACTAAAAAAAAAAAGGGCTAAATGAAATGGAGATACACAATCTATCAGATGCAGAGTTTAAAACACTGGTAAGAAGGTTGCTCAAGAAACTTTGTGTGGATCTCAGCAGCATAAAAAAGATCCAGTCAGAAATGAAGGATTCACTCACTGAAATAAAGAACAATTTACAGGGAAACAACAGTTCAGTGTGTGAAGCTGAGAAATGAATCAATGATTTGGAACATAAGGAAGCAAAAACAACCAATCAGAACAAGAAGAAAAAAGAACCCCCCAAAATGAGGGTAGTATAAGCAGTCTCTGGGACAATCTCAAGAGGTCCAACATTTGCATCACAGGGGTGCCAGAAGAAGAAGAGAAAGAGCAAGAAATTGGAAACCTATTTGTAAAAATAATGAAAGAAACCTTCCCTAATTTGGTGAAGAAAACAGACATGCAAGTCCAGGAAACAGAGAGTCCCAATCAAGTTGGACCCAAAGAGGACCACACAAAAACACATATAATGAAAATGCCAAGGGTTGAAGATAAAGAGAGAATCTTAAAAGCAGCAAGAGAAAAGCAAAGGGTTACCTACAAGTTCCCATAAGACTATTAGCTGATTTCTCTAAAGAAACCTTACAGTCAAGAAAGGGCTGGAAAGAAGTATTCAAAGTGAGGAAAAGCAAGGACCTACATCCAAGATTACTCTATCCAGCAAAGCTGTCATTTAGAATTGAAGGGCAAAAAAAGTGCTTCCCAGATAAGGTCAAGTTAAAAGAATTCATCATCACCAAACCCTTATTATATGAAATGTTAAAGGGACTTATTTAAGAAAAAGAAGATCAAAACTATGATCATTAGAATGACAACAAACTCACAACTATCAACAAGTGAATCTAAGAAATAAGAAAAATAAAAATAAACTAAGCAAACAACTGGAACAGGAACAGCATAATAGGTCTGGAAGTCATTTGGAGCACTATTAACTGGGAGGGA